ACATTCACGAGAGGACGAACCGCTATATCCAATCCAGCAAAGGGTGTTAAGTGAAACTATTCAAACCTTAGAGGTTCAACTCATGAGCTTTACGGAACACAGGTGGCAAGGAGCAAGGATCTGGGGCAAACTCTCCAAGCATAGCATCGAGGGAGCAATGGATGCAAGATTCTTCGCAATGGCCAAGGCCAGAACAGGGCGTGCAATAATCGAGGCCGTGGAGGACCCAAAATGCCACCTTGGGCCCCTTCACATATCCACGACTGCATGCACGAAAATAGCGAGAGATTTTTACCAAGACCTCTTCACCTCAGAATGTCGGAATCAGGAGAGAGAAAAACGTGCGGAGGAAATCAATGTTTTTCTGCGCCCACTAACCAAAACCCTCACAGACCAACAGAAGGAGACCCTAGACACACCCATATCGCAGGAGGAGATATGAGAGGCATTGAAGCAAATGGAGGAAGAAAAAAACCCCGGTTTGGACGGGCTACCAAAAGAATTCTGGGAAGCCATGTGGACTAGCATCTCCCAAGACCTCATGGACTATTATCACGCGGTTTGGAACACGGGACAAATAGGTGAAATAGTGTGGCAAGGAGTGCTGACGCTTTTTACAAAAAAGGGGAAAAGACTAACATCAGAAACGATAAGCCTATTACCCTTCTTATTGTGGTTTACAAACTGCTAGCCAAGGCACTGGCCAATCGCATGACACCAGTGATGAGGGACATTATCCATCCGGACCAAACTGGCTTTATCAAAGGCATAAATATCCAGGGTAACATCCTCCTGGTTAACGAGATGATCAAACTATCACGACAATCCAAAAACAACGCAGCGATCATCTTCATCGACTTTGAGAAAGCTTACGATCATGTGGATTGGTTCTTTCTTGATAAATGCCTAGGCAAACTAAATTTTGGTCAAAATTTCAGACGCTGGATAGAGATCCTTCATGGAAATGCGACAACTAGGGTCATGGTAAACGGCAACCTGGCCCCCCCCATTAGCCTCTAGAGGTCGGTCAGACAAGGCGACCCCATAGCGCCCTACCTATTTGTCATCGTTATGGAGGCGCTGACTACCAATCTGAGGACCCACAAAGAACTTAAGAGAATCCAAGTAACATCAATACCCAAAGAGGCAATCCCGGTGTGCTCGTTGTTTGCTGACGATCTAACTCTGATGGTGGATGCTTCCAAAGAAGCAATGGAGGAGGTGCAGCGCCTGATGGATCGCTTCTGCACACTGTCAGACAGGAGAGTCAACTGGGGAAACAAAACCCTGGGATGGTGGATACACCACCAAGGTGTGAGATCCCCGGAATAACCCAAAATTAACTGGCTCCCCAAAGAGAGCCCTATCAGGGTGCTAGGCATCTCCATGACGGCAGAAGGCAAACCCTCGACAAATAACGATTGAATCTCTACCCCCCCCTCTGGCCAAAATGGCTCTCTGGAGGGACAAACACACCTCGTTGTTCGGTCGAGCCCTCATCATCAACAATGTGGTGCTGGCCTCGATGTGGTACAAATCTGCCATTTGGGCCCTGGACAAAAATGACGTACGCCCACTGCGATGCCAGATTGCCGCTTTTCTTTGGCGGGGCGATCATGAACGACGTAATGTACTAAGCCGGGTGGCCTGGCACTCAATTATCCAACCCAAAACACGAGGAGGTTTGGGCATCATCGACCCCTTATTACAAACTAAAGCACTAGCCCTGCGATGGATCAAGCGCCTCCTTTTCAGCCCGGAGATCCCCTGGAGAGAGCTAGCTCTAGAACAGATCGCAAGGCTAGCACCACAAACACTAGAAGGGATCGACCCGGTGATGTGGTTGGAAAACAGAGAATGGTCCATCCCTCGAACAAGAACGCATCAAAGGGTCCCTCACCCGGAATGCCCCAAGCAAGCAACCAAAGCCGATTTGCGATAAGACCCCTTCTGGCCTGCCCTTCTCAGGACATGGAGGAGTCTGCCCCCCCCTGACAAAATAGCGCCAGACAGGTGGGAGGAGGTGGCGCGCCAACCCCTCTTTGGAAATAGATGGGTGGTGGACTCGACGGGCCGCATGCTCCTCAGCACGGACACCCCCTGGAGGGGCTGGATCAAGAGAGGGATAACAAGAGTCAAGGATATATGGGATGGGGACAGAAAGGACTGGATCGGACCCGACCAACTCCGAGAGAGGCTATGGTATTGCCACCGGCCGCACGAAGCTCTGGAGAGGCTCATAGAAAAAATCCCGCTAGAGTGGTGGAGAATACTCCACAAAGGCCCCTCCCTGCAGAAACTAGATTGGGTGGCGGTTAGGGGCCACCAAGGTTGTGTGGGTAACAGTGGTTGTGCGGCTCTCACGGCTAGGGCAGGACAACGCCATCCAAAGACCAGTCGCTGATGCAAATTTAACATGTCAAGCAGACGAGGTCCACAGAGTCTGCGTGCTAAACGAAGACGGGCAATAGATAGCTTACCTTCCTGACATCCCCCTGCAACACCTGGCTTTGGATCCGATAGAGTGGTCATGGTCAACCCAGGGTAGGCAAGGCAAGAAATTTACAAAAACCCTATATGCCTTGACTGTCAAATCTACCTACAGGCTCCTGAGACCGAAGGCGGCATTGCATGACCAGGTGGGGGAACGCTGGCAAAACCATCTCAACGTCAGTAGACGCGAGCTGCGACCAGTCCGCTGGTTCAGAACAGTTAAAGAAAAGCCAGCCAAACTGGCATCGCTTCAATGGCAGTTAGAGCACCGCTGCCTTCCAACCAACAACTGGCTCATCGATAGAACGTCCCTGGAACATTCCCGTCCCGGAAAAGGCCTGAGACAATTGAACATATATTCCTCCAATGTCCCGGGGCACTTTGGTTGTGGAGATGGTGGGACCGAGTGTGGGATCAACTGGGGACAAACGTTCAATGGCCCTGGGACTGGAAGGCCTTGCTGTGTGAAACCTGGCCCAAGGACCTGACAGAGCAATCAGACGAGTTCACCATGAATATGCTTAGGATGGGCCGTCGGGCAATCCTCTGGGCACTCTGGCGGAGACGTTGCACGTTCGAAATGGAGGGGGCGTGATTGGAAGGCCCCGAATTCACTGAGAGCGTTCAACAACAAATCCAGACAGAAATAATGGCAAAATGGAACGAAGTAAAGGGACGACTTCAACTTCTCCATAAGCAAAGCGACATCAGACAAAAAATCCGGGACTTCAGTACAAACTGGCTTGGGGATGCAGAGGGAGGGAGGATAGGAAAGGTGGAATGGAAGGGAGAACACACGGAATGTGCCGCTTCTGGGGAGGGTCAACCAGGGATGGAGATCATAAGAGACTACTGCCTGCATTTTCACGAGTGGACCCAAGAGGATGCCTTGATCCCGCTGAAACCCCCGGAACATTTCCCGGACTTCTTCCCCCCCCCATCCAACTGTCTAGTGGATAGGTCATGGTATGGTGTGGATTCTGAAGTTCCCAGTTAAAAAGGAGGTGGAGACTAGCTCTTCAGCAGTAGATATCTGGCGCCTAGTTGCTGGGCGAAGGGGTCCCCACCCTCAACAACTCGCAAGTTTCGCTTTTGCTGTATCTGGAACAGTCGGTTGCAACTCTGTGAAGTGTTTCTGTAAAGGGACGCTGGACCTGTTTTCCAGCAGGTGATGCTCCCCACCAATAGATGGAGCCTCCCCCCAGGTGCTAGTGGTGGCTGCGCTGACCAGCATCACTAGCACCGCAGGAGGTGTGTCTTTTCAAAAAAAAAAAAAAAAAAAAAAAAGATCACTCTCGGTTTCCATGATTGATCTCGAAATGTGCAAAACGAGAGTGAATCTTCGCTAGATACAGCGTTATGATTTTTGTCTTTTGTGCAACGGGAATACAAGGGCCCAGCAGGATATACGGGCTGATAAAGACATAGAGGCCCTAGGGGTAGTAGGGGCTACACGTGCTGACAACAGACCAGTTTCTTTTTTTTTTTATTTTCTCTTTTGTTTTTCCTTCTCAGATTTCCCGACCTATGCGTGTCATCCTTGGGGCCTCGTGTAGTGCATCTTTCCATGTTCTAGCGGAAGATTCACTCTCGTTTTGCCTCGCTCCACTACTCTTAAAATGTGCAAACCGAGAGTGAATCTTCCGCTAGAAAGAATAGTGGAGGAGGGCCCTCTGTTTTTTTTTTTAATCTCGGCCCTGTTGCGTGGCCGGCCACGGCCAGGATGCC